TTAAAATATCTGGTTGCATTTAAAAACTCTATTTGTATCTAAAAGTACGTACATTTGACATTTAATTGGACATCAATGTGAAAATACAGAAAACACTTGAAAGTAGTTTCCTTTCCATCTACTATCCATGTGTTCCTTTATTGTCTTTTGAATGTATGGATGTGGAATGCACTGCATATATCATCTGATTCCTCATATCAGTAAGGAAGAGATACAAGTTTTATCTTTCTCTATTACCCCTCTTTATCTTGCAGAGTATATGCAAAGTGGTAGAGCTACTGAAAAGACAGATGTGTATAGTTTTGGGGTTCTGGTACTTGAAATATTAAGTGGAAGTCGTCCAACTGATGCATCATTCATTGAGAAGGGCCTAAACATTGTTGGCTGGGTATGCTTCGGCTTTATTTTTTATTCTGTTTTATTTTGTTCGTCATTCTTTAAAATTATTTTCCTTTTTATAGTCACTATAGTCTATATAAGCCACCCTGATTGACTGACACTTGTTAGAAATAATTCCAGATAATGCTTAACACACACAAACACACACACACACACACGACTGAAAATAACGACCGCATATCCTTTCAAATACTCTCTAGAATGGTACACACAATCATTTATCCGTGTAAGTGGTCACTTTTGCATTTTGCAGTTAAATTTTTTGGTCACTGAGAACAGACCCCAGGACATAGTTGATCCGCTCTGTGAAGGCATGCAGGCAGAGAGCCTTGATGCACTGCTCTCAATTGCAATACAATGTGTCTCTTCAAACCCAGAGGAGCGGCCCACCATGCACAGGGTACTTCAGATACTTGAATCTGAAGTCATGACGCCATGCCCTAGCGACTTCTACGACTCTGATTGAAGCGGCAATGCTAAAACACCCAGACATCTCCCAGGGGCTCAAGATTTATTTGGTTTCACCTGCTTCATTCAACAGAACGTGGAATCACAAGTCTATGGATCACTTCACGAACACGCAACCAATCACACTTCTTCAGGGTTTGAGGTTTTTTCCTTCACTCCTTTTTAGTATCCATGTTTTTTTTATTTCCCATGTGCATCAGTCTTGTTCTTCTTCCACATGTATGCAAATCGAGCATTGGCATCATACCATTTTCTTTGTTGTCTAGGCGTTCTCCTTTTCAATTTCTTTTGATATGTAGTGTTACTAAATTTATTTGTATATTACGGAGTAAATGATTGTATTGATTCAAACTTGTCATTTTTGTAATTATTATTAGAGTAAATTCCATAATTGGTCCTTTATAACGGGGGGTTTCCCTATTTAGTCCTTTATTATCAAATAGTACTCTTGTAGTCTTTTTTTTAAGGGTGTCTTTCCACAAATGGTCCTTTTTTTAATCTTCTGCCATGTGGGTGTTAATGTAAAGGCTAAAAGTATAATTTGACATTAACATTATGTCTAGTGACGTGTTCTGATATTGGTTAAGCGGATAACACAAAAATAATGACTATGATTTTGGGTCAGGATTCTGACGGAAGACCACATTTGTAGACTATGGTTGTAGTAGAAAGCGAATGTAATTCACAAACGACGCAAACGGAACAACCTTTGGAATTGTGTATGACAAAAAAGATATATTCTCATTGTGAAATTACACTTTTAGCCCTCAAATTAACTCCAACATGATAGAAGATAAAAAAAAGGACTATTTGTGGAAAGATACCCATAAAAGAAGGACCACTGGGGTAATATTTGATAAAAGATGACTAAATAGGGAAACCACACTGTTATTAAGGACCAATTATGGAATTTACTCTTATTATTAAGTATCAAGTCCTAAGCACAAATGATATTCTTTAGGAAGATTTCAAACTACATCTGTGCAGTAAGAATTGGCAAATTGATGGCACACTAACTGACCTCAACACTTGTAGATTGTGAAACCAAATCCGGGTCAGTTATTACTCGGTATTTTCATTTCATCAAAACCCAATGTACAATTATACAATACGTAAATTTAAAAAATGTAGTAATAAGCCGCTTATACATGTAAAACAGTAGATGATACACATGTAAACAACAGGGTTGTTACTCCGGTCACTGTTTGCCTTCGTTCTCCACAGTACCCTTCCTCATCATCTGTTTGAACTCGTCATAGTTGATCTTCCCATCCTACACAGTGTGAACTTTCAGTGAGTGATCCATCAAACATAAGTATGAAATTAGAGGACATGCTTTCTGCATTAATTTTTCTTACGTTGTCTGTATCCACGTCATTAAGGATCTCACGAATTGTAGCTTCATCCCCCATGCCATAGTCTTTCATAGCATGCATGAGCTCGTCTCTGGTAATGTATCTGTTGTTGGGGAAAACAAAATGTGCAGTCATGAAAAGATGAGGTACGTAGCACTGTATAAATAACGAGGGTTTACGACAAAAAAAAAAAGAGAAGACCGAAACAGTGTACCCGTTGCCATCCTTGTCAAAATGTTTAAAAGCCATAAACAAGTTCCTCTCGTTTTCAAGCCTATGCCGGTGCATTGCAACGGTAATGAATTCCATGTAGTCTATGGTCCCATTCTTGTCAATATCAGCCTGAGCATATGTAAAGCAAGTGGTTGCTATAAGGGAGCCCTTCAACTATGTATTGATTTGTGAATGTGTGTGTCTGTGTTAAAGAGTAGAGTACTTGTGTTTCTTACGGCATCCATAAGCTGTTTTATTTCGTCCACAGAGAGGTTGGAGCCCAGCTTAGCTAACCCGGTTCGAAGTTCACTAGGAGTGATGCTTCCGTTTCCGTCCGCGTCCATGTTCTTGAACATCTCTTTCAGACCCTTGATTTCATCTTCTGGCATCGTTTCTGCAATGACCTTCAAGCCATTGCCGCAGTTTCATATATCATGCGTGGGTACCAGTAAAAACTACAATCTGCTACAACGGGTATGGTTTTGGCTTATATTGGGTACCTTTAGAGCAAGTTGCTTCATCTTGTTCATTGCCCTGAATTGCTTCATTCTGATCAGAACAGCATTGTGAATAGGCTTGTCTGGTGCATCCCCATCTTCTTTGAGCCATGGATGCTCTTTTCACATATTCATTTCATTCATGCATGCATGAAGATTAGCAGATAGACACATATACTATTCCTAGTTTTACTTGAACTCCTACTTACCAAGGGCGGCCGCTGCAGTAATTCGTCTTTCGGGATCGACGGTCAACATTCTCCTGATGAGATCCTTTGCACCCGAAGATATCGATGGCCAGGGATCGCTTTCAAGATCCACACGGGCCTTCAAAATTTCTCTAAAGATGCCATTCTCATTTTCTGGATGACGACCGTCAAGCAGATTGATTTAGCTTATAATTTCCATTAAACATTAGAGGAAATGAATGTACATGCAATAGATGTATGGAGGTGCATATATATATACCAGCATAGAAGGGAGGAAAGCCACTCAAAAGGATGTACAATATAACTCCAGCACTCCACACGTCTATCTCCTTGCCATACCTCCGTCGCAATACCTCGGGAGCAATGTAGAACGCACTCCCGACAATGTCCTTCAACTCTCGTCCTGAAGAATGTACATTTCCTTATTTTAGTTCCAGTGGTTCATGAATCCGTCTTTAGAATGATTGCCTGTCTGGAAGTCTATTCTCAGCGGTCTGAGGTTAGTCTAAGTCTTACAAGAACAAACTTCCTTACCTTCCTCAATGAAAACGGAGAGTCCGAAATCCGTGGCCTTCAAGGGGGAGTCCTCATCCGCGGAGACGAGCAAGAAGTTCTCGGGCTTGAGGTCCCTGTGAATGACTCCCATGAAGTGGCAGCCGTGAACCACGCTCACCACCTGCCTTGCAATCCTGGCGGCTTCTTTCTCGGAGTAGCTCCCCCTGGCGGTGATCCGGTCAAAGAGCTCCCCGCCGGAGCAGAGCTCCATCACCAAATGCAGGTGGCTGGAGTCCTCGTACGCCCCCTTGAAGGTCACAATGTTCGGCTGCCCGCTCAAGTGCTGCAGGATTCTGATCTCCATCCTCATGTCCTCAACCTCCCTCTCGCTCATCGCCAGCTTCCTCGTTGAGATGGACTTGCATGCATAGTCCAACCCCGTGGCCTTCTCTGTGCAGAGATATGTGATCCCAAACTGCCCTCTCCCCAGTTCGCGCTGCAGCTCGTACAGTGCGGTGATGTCCACGTATGGCTCTCCCAGAACCGGCCCCACCTCCACCGTTCTACGCTGGGGGTACGCGTCTTCTTCTTCTCCTTCAACTTCTACAATGGGTATTACGACATACTTTCCAAAAGAATCAGATTCTGATGATAGATATGGGGCTCCAGCTTTTGTGCAACAGCAGCCCATAATGATAATAATAATAATACTGTTTTTTTTTTGTGAGGGTAGGGGAGAAAAAAGGTGGGTTTGATTTGGCAGGGAGAGAAGAAAGTGAATGTGTTTTTATGGAGGTGGAGGAGGAGGAGTGTGGCTAGAAAAATTCTTCTTTTTGAGGTGCTTTGCTTTTGTGTTTGGAACCATGTCCTTTCCCTGCACTGTTAATATAGGTATCAATAAACCAACCAAATGGGGGTTTAGCTCCATCACTTTGTTTTTTTTTTTTAAAAAAAATACTCTTTAGGCTTCTGTAATACTCTTGACTCTTCATGCTGTAGGGCTCTCTCCCACCTTGATTTAGGCTCTATTCTTTTGGAATGGGAAAATAGAGTTATATGTTAGAAATAGTGGAAGAAAAAAAAACTAAAAAAAAAAGTTTGAAGAAGTTATAAGAAGTTAGAATAAATTAGGAAGTGTTAAAAGGAAGTAAAGAAATCATTCTAAATAGGAGTAAAACATAAAGAAAGTATATTACTTCGTAGAATTTTGTGTTTTTATCTTCAAAATAAGACTTTTGCATTGTGAAAATGTAACACAATATATTGATATTTTATAATATTTTTTAATAAAGAAATACTCCCTCCGTCCCACAAAAAAGTTCCCATTTTGACCATAAATTGGTCAAACAGTTATACGCTTTGACCATAAATTAAATATAATCTAAATAAAGAAATGCTAAAAAAATTTGAGATATCAAAACTAGATCCTAAGATGAATCCAATTATATTAAATTTATTTATAATTTAATATACTTTTCTCACAATTTGTAGTCAAAGCGTGTAAATATTTGACTAAATACTATTCAAAATGGGAACTTTTTTGTGAGACGGAGGGAGTATCATTTTGTATGGAGTATTTTTTAAGTTTCATATTTTTTTATTAAAACAATATGCTCCGGTTCAAGTAGTGCTTCATTTGTTTCGATTTTGTCATACTCTGTATTTGTATATTTTATGTCTCCTACAATTTTTTACTCAAAATAATACTCTAGATTGTGATACCTCCTTCGGAGTATTATTTGTGTGACTCGCATTTATTTTTACTACTCCTTCCGTACTTCATGGATTTTCCAGAGATGGTTCACATGATCAAACTTAACTTACTTTGTTTGTTTTTATTATTCATTTCATAAAATAATATAATATTTTTTTCTTCTTTTGTTTTTTACTATACAAATTTTATTTTAAAATTTTAAACCAACAATTGAATAAATTTTAGAGGAATTTACTTAAATAGCACTAAAACATAATGACTTTCCCTAAATAGCACCACATGTGTTTTTCTTCCCAATGTAGCACTTTTAGTCATTATGCATTAGTCATTATTCAAACAAATATTCGCCATCACTGGATATTATGGACATTATCAAGTGCTATTTAGGGAATAAAACAATTTAAGTGCTATTTATGGAAATGACTTAAGTTTTAGTGCTATTTAGTGCAAATATTTCTAAAGTGAAGAGGAATTTACTTAAATAGCACTAATGACTTAAGTTTTAGTGCGTGACGCATAATGTGTAAATCCATTTGAGACGAAGGGTAGAGCATTTCTTATTTTTAATAAGAAAATCAATCACAATTTTTTTCTTAATATACATTTCATTAATTCATGTTTTAAAAATAGTGGGACAAAACGTTAATTAAAAGAAAAGATGATATAGATAATCTAACGTTTGCCAATGTCTTATAGTTATATTCGATAATGTCTTAATTAATACTCCGTATTCTCTTCGTATGGATTTTTTTTCATTTTTTATTTTGGATCGTCAAAAAAAATTCTTCATATTTCTTGCTTTTTTGTCAAATAATTCTTTGTTAAATACTCGGAAAGGCCTCAAATTAGTCTTTGTTAAATACTTATCAACATTTTTTTAAAAATGGAGAAAGTCAAATTATGATTTTAATTTTAACGACTGCATTAATGTAACCAAATGATAACTTGTACTGAACAGAGAATTAATTACTTATTTAATTAAACGAACATAAATAAAATCACAATCCCAATTGTTGATTTTAATGTATTGATTGGGCTCCTAGGATAAGCTTGACAAGGGTCCATTTCGTTACACGGGACAGCTCGAAATTGTTGTCTCATCCACCTTTCATTTACTCTCCAAAGAAATATCCGTCTCAATTAGACCATTTGTAAATTGTAATGAGAGATTTGATAAGACTTGATGAAGTGTCACATAAACAGTTCGAGGTTGAGCATGAATAAAAATATATTTTTTCCGTCTCACAATGAATATCATACTTTAAACAACGTGTAAAATTACATCAATTTTAGAAGAGTAAAGTGCTTACAAGGTCTATATAATTTTTTTTTAAAAGTGCTTCCTAAGTTTCTGAATTATTGTAAGTGCTTACAAGATCACTATATTATTTTGAAAGTTCTTCACAGGTCCCTAAATTATTTTTAGTGTTTATCTAATCTCTTATCTTTTTAATTGGTGCATTAGTGGTTAGTGGCTTTTTCAGACCAAGTCTCTGGAAATTACGGTAAGAATTGAAGTAATATCATAAATTTTCGAACAACTAATGCGTGTTGCTCAAACAATTTTCGCGCACTTAATCTGAAAAATGCCACCAAAGGGACCTATTGCGCACTTTCAAAAATATGTAGGGATCTAGTAAGCACTTAAAAGTAATTCAGAGATTCGGGAAGTACTATAAAAAAAATATAGGGATTTTGTAAGCACTTTACACATTTTAAAATGATTTAATCAAGAATTGGTATAAAAATAAAAAGTATAACTTAAACAGTTCAAAAATACATTAAAAGTTCTAAAAAATAAGATGTGACACGAATATTTTATTTTATAAAATGATCAATGAAAACATACAAACCAATAAAATTTATCGAGAAGCCGTAATAGTGACAGTAACATCCATTTTATACGGAGTATTTTTGTATTTTGAAAGCCATCACTTATACAAGGGCCACGTCCTATAATGTTGAGTGTATCATGGCAAAGGGCCGTGAACTAGTGAGGATGGTGAAGTCCTTTCTCACGTTCCACAACACATAGCCTTATTTAAGAGTCAAATTATATTTTATTTCCGAGTAAATTTCATAAAAGGTCCCCAGTTATAGGTCGTTTTACATATCCAGTCCATACATACCAAATATTACTAATTTAGTCCCCAATTATTATATTCATTTTCACGAATGGTCATTCGTTAACATTTCCATTAAGAACGTGGATAAAATTGTAAATTCACACTCCTTTCTCTCATGAATTAAGCTTTCTCCCTCCCCTCGCACTTATTTCCCAAACCCGTCGCTGAGTTTGAAACTTTGAACCCAAAATCGAAATCATCACTCTTCTATCAATTGTTTGTCTAACTGGTGGAACCCAAATTCGAAACCAGTAACCTTCATGGATGAATTTAAAACTTAAAATTTAAAATTTAAAATTTAAAATTTAAAAGTTAAAATTTAAAATTTAAAATTTAAAATTTAAAATTTAAAATTTAAAATTTAAAATTTAAAATTTAAAATTTAAAATTTATACTTAAATTAAAAACTTAGAATTAAAAATTGAATATTTAAAATTTAAAAGTGAAAATTAATAATTAAAAGTTAAAAATAAAAAAATTATTAACTAATAACCCAAAATTTAAGATTTATTATTTGAAATTTAAAACTGAAAACTCATAAATTTAAATGTAAGATTTAAGAATATAATTGAAAATAAAAAAATCAAATATTAAAAACCAAAAATTAAGATTTAGTTTGAAAACGGCAAAACTTAAACCATAAAATTTAGAATGTAACTAAATTTTTAACCGATATTTATAGCAAATTTGAAAACTGATAATGTTACCAAATTAGATATATTTAAACAGATACTTTCAAAATCTAAAACTAAAATGAAACAACGAATGTAATTGCACTGATAATTTCAAAATCCAAAACTAAAATTAAACAAACTGATAATTTTAATGCCACTTTATTTTACAACCGATGTAATTGCACTGGAGCAATTACATCGCTAACATTTGCATCAATACAAAACCGATGCAAAAAGTCTAAAAGAAATGATGCTAAAGACTTAATAATGTAGTAGTGCAGTTATAAAAGGGTGTTTTCAAAAGTTTTACAGGAATATTTTGGGAAAAAGTACTGTATAACAATTATTCCTAAGCATATGTTTACAGGAATATTTAGGAAAATTTTTCCTAATTTTTAGGGAGTAACATAATTTTGAAAGTGGGGGTACGGATATATGTTTTCAATCAAATACGGTCCTGGCCGGATATGAATCTCTTGAATTCAGAATAATAACGTACAATAAGATTTAAAGTTTTGGTTCGATAAATTGACTTTACATTAGTGTAATCTTCAAGATTTAATGATACATACATAAAGTATGAAAAGACATCTCCATGTTTGCCAATCTTTAATTTCCACTTTGCACAAAGCCACAAATTAAATAGAAAACTCACGAAAATGGTTTGGTGATTCAAAAGAATGATCTAATGATTTAAGCTTAATTGAGACTATATGCATACCCAAAAATGTTAAATTCACTTCGTCTCGTTTAAATTTATTGGACCCACTCTCACACATATACGTAGTAACTTTGATATAACTATGATTATTAATATTAATTAATAAGACCATCTGTTATGTAGGGTGACTTACCGGCGTGAAAGAAGTGTCACGTCCCGTCACAATGTGAACATTGCGACACCGCATGCGTGGCGGAAGTGTGACAAAGGGTGCTTGATGGTGGTCATAGGTGTTACCCCTTTTTTTATTTTCTTTTTTTTATTTAATTTTTTTTCATTTGAAACCTATCAAAATTTAAAATATGTTCACACTTCATTACTTTCCATCACACTCACCACAACACACATTTCTTCATCACTCCATATCATACATCTTTCTTTACGCCCGTCAAGCCCATCATAACACATGACCTTATACAGAGAAAAAACAATAAAGCCTTATCCCACTAGGTGGGGTCAGCTACATGGATCAAACAATCTCATTGCGCCATATCGACATATCGTGTATCATGATCATACATGCTGTGAAATTATTTACGCGAAGGTCTCCCTGGATCAATGCTTGTCAAGTGCTTTTAGGTCTACCTCTTCCTCCAGCCACATGCCTATTTACCATTTGATCAACCCTTCTCACGGGATGCTCTATTGGCCTTCTCTCCACATGTCCAAACAACCTAAGTCGAGTTTCTACGGAGCATAACGGAGTAAATTTTATTTAAATTCTCTATTTATATTTAAATAAATTATATTAAACACAAACTCAATTAAACTATGTTATTCGTAATGTGACAATTAATTCAAAAAAGAGATCGGAGCATATAATCAGATATGGATGCTGGCAAATACTTTTGTGGTTCTTGGGTCTACGCTTATTTTATATATGGACCTTAGTATATAAACATCATGAAAAAACAAAGTTTTTTTTCAAAAAAGAGATGATCCCCATGTCAGTCCATAAAAAGTATGAAAAATGTGGACTAATGTGTGTTACTCAGCTTCCTCTGTCTCAATGTATTTTTCCAGTTTGATTTTTTCGAATCAGACAAGATAAACTTTAAGCTGCAATTAAATAAATATCATATCGTATTATATTTTAACATAAAATGAATTTACTAGATTTGTTGTATTAAGAACTTTCAAATTTGTATTTCATTATTCTAACATGTAATACAAATTTAGAGTAATTGAAATTCGAAGTTTGTCCAGTTTGACTAAAAAATCAAACGAGACAAATATACTAGAACGGAGGTAGTATTTTTATTAAAGTATTTATGTTGTTAGACCATTCGTAGTCGTTCACCCCCTTGTGAGCATTTTCCGCCATGTGGCATTCGCGTCAACATGACCAATTTCTTTCACAAAATACTCCCTTCGTCCCAAATTATTTGTCAAATTTGTATTTCCGAGACAAAATATCAAGTTTTTTCAATTCATTTTATTTACATATTGGTAAAGAAATAAAAAAATTACATATAAAAAAACTACATGAAAAGTTCTTCGAAATAAGAGGTGTCAAGAATATTTTATTTTATCAAATAATCAATAAAAACGTCGAAATAAACAAAAGTTCCCGACACTGCTGAAAAAGCAAATGTTGTGAATATTTAGGGACGGAGGGAGTAGGATAGTGGCTCACCCCCCCCACCCATTCGATTATTACTTAAATACGTAGTATTTTTTTTTAACAAAAAATCAACCAATAGCAGAGCAAATGATGTAGAAATAGGTGTGCATTGTGGCGTGAATTGATTCAGAAAAATTGGGCAAAAATTGGAATTCACGAGCTAGGGGCTGACAATTCCAGCGTGATTAGGCTTTATGTGGGGCTAAATCAGATCAGACTAAATCAGATCAGGTCTAATCTAATCAGATTTAAACAAAATTATTATTATTATTACTATGAGTATTATTATTATTACTATTACTATTATTATTTTGATTATAATACTATTACCATTGTTACTATTATTACTATTACTTTATTTTTATTTGTGTTTCTATTATTATTATTATTACAATTAGAATTACAATTACTATTATTATTATGATTATAATTATTATTCCTATTTTTTATAATAATTACTTTTATTGTTATTAATATTACTATTAATATTAGTATTATTATTATTATTATCACTATTACAATTATTATTATTGTTACTATTATTACTATTATTAATATTAATATTAATATTATTTTGTTACTTTTACTATTATTATAACTATTATAATAATTATAATTTTAATTTTAATTTAAATCAAATTTATATCAGATCAGATTCAATCAAATTAGATCAGATCATACCAGACTAGAGCAAATAATAACTTTTAAAAATGGGAAATGCTTAGTTCACAAACACAATCATCACAAACTTACTATTTGTGAACTTCTATAAAAAAAATTAAATAGTCCAAAATAATTTTAAAATAAAAATTTAAACCATGAATAGTAGGTTTGTGGAGTTTGTGACTAATCCTGTTTGTGAACGTGTCATTGTTCTTTTTTAAAAATATCAAAAAACAGAGGGAACGCAACCTATAAACTCCCCACTACCTTCGGGTCTTATAAGGTTCGCCTATCACGGATTCACGGTTCACTACTTTCACTACTCACAATGCAAAAAGCAGTCAATAAGAATAGTGAGACAGCACAAACATTAATTTTCCATATTTATTTCTGTGAAGGAGAAAATCCTAAAATATTCCCCTTTTTACATGCGGAAAATCTTTCTTCCTCCCCCCTACTTCTTAGGAAAACATATTCCACCCCAATTGTGACCGATGGTAGAAATGGATGGCCGAAAAAATCACTCATTTTGTGTTTTTTAAACATATTTTTCACACTTTTTGTTGGCCATTTTGAAACTCCCTTTCACGGTTTAATTTGGTCAAATTTATTTTGGAACGCTTTTTTTTTCTAGGCCACGTTCAAATCGCTCATTTTCTGAACGCATTTCATTTCTTTTTTTGTGACTCCGCAACTCTTCCTACAGAGCATATTCACAGTGAAATTCCGGGAATTAATTAACTAATTGCTCGTAATTAATTTGAATTTTATTCAATGTAATTATTTTTTTAAAATAAATTTAATGTAACTATTTTTTTTTAAAAAAAAATTAATGTAATTAGCACTCAAAATGCACAATTTATTGTGCAGCTGGGACAGGATGAACACGGCAAGGCAACGAAATTCATGCACCCACCCACAATTAATAGCGCCGTACAGCTAAAAGGCACTATAATTAGAGGGTGTATTTAGATGTGTGATTAGTTAGAAAATAAATAATTACCACCGTACTCTGTATTTTGATTATTTGACCAGAATTTTAATATGTGTTTGGCACTTTACGCCAAATGAAAAGAAATTTATTTGTTTCAATTCATTTTATTTAAAGATTGATATAAAAACAAAATAAAATTATCTATTGAAAAAACAACATAAAAAATTTTTTCAAAACAAAATGTAATGAAAATATTTTATTTTATCAACTAACTGATGAAAACATGCAAATAAACAAAAGTTTTTGCGATAAAGTGTTTTTTTATACGAAGTGCACACACACTTTTTTATTGCCGGGTTGGCAATGACTTCAGTGTGTTTAATTTTAATATTTTAAAAATTTATATAATACTCCCGTAATAACGGCTAATTTTAAGATTTTCAAAATGAATTTATACCATAAAAAAATATTTAAGCCGTCAATACTAATTGAACATATTGTTTCCAAACAAGGTCTTACTCTACTATTAAAACTTTTTTTACATAAATTTTGTTCAAAGAAATCAAGAAATTCCAAAAATAATAAAATTAATTCTAGACTAAAAGTAATATTGTTCTCCACACGGAACTTTTTTTTTTTTTTGGTTTCCTAAACGTTTCCTAAGGTACAAATATTATTAATTAACCCCAAAAGAATTACTCGTACATAGCCAGCTGTTTTTACTTTTTACCACGACCACCATCATGTAAATTTCCAGCAAAAATGTTGTGTTTCAGCAAGGATTGGCCTCGGGCGGGTCAAAGAGCTCCGACCCGAGTTTGGTTCTGCAAATCGGGCAGACGGGGTGTTTGGAAAGCCACGTGTCGGCGCATTGGAGATGGAAGCCGTGATTGCAACCGGGAACAACCCGCGCCGGTTGCTCGCTCTCGATGTCATCCAAGCAGACCGCGCAGTCCCGGCCCATGATTAAATCCTTGCCGGCCACTGCCGGTAGCCTCTCCAGCTGCGCGGCGGAGAGGCCGATTTCCTGCGCGCCTTTCTCCGCCGGCGCCGCGGCGGCCGACGCGCCGCCCCGGTAGGTGGCGGCGTACCAGAGGAGGCAGATGTAGACCAGGAACACGGCGCTCATGCCGGCGCAGGGGAGGAACAGGGCGAGGAACACGGAGAGAAGCATGTTCGGCGGAATGTCAATCGGAGGCGGGAGACGGCGGCGGGGGGATCTGGGAGTGGAGTGGAGCCGCTAGCGCACCGCCAATTTGAGGGGTGAGAGTCGAGAGGGAGGTCGAAGGAGATGGAAGAAGGGGAGATCGGTATTTATATGGGGGGAATAAGGGCGTGTTTGGATGGACGGAAGAGAAAATGAAAAAAATCGCGGCCTTTCAGGTGAGAAAAGTGCCAAAAGGGGTTGGTTGATTGATGAGGGTAGTGGGGGCGTAGGTGACGACTGGCGCCGTATTAATTATCAGGGGGGGGGGAAGAAGTACTGCAATTACAATTTTTTACTACTAATGCCTCACTGCATTGGGATGGTCAGTAAATGGAGGCAACTCCAATGGGTAGGTAGGTAAAATAAGGAGATATTTTGTTTCATTTACCTCTACAACAGCTGGCATTTACTTTTTTCGAAAATAATATACTCGATTGAAAAAAAGACACTCTTTTTATTATCTTCTCAGACATTATTCATAAGGTCAAACTTAATTTATTTTATTTGTTTATTTTTACCATAGTTTTCAGAATCGGACTAGGGACTGAACCGGTCAAGGTACTGATTCACTGGTCGAACCAGTGTTTCAAGTGGTCGAACTAGTGGTTCACGCATGTTTGAAAATTCAATATATATATATATATATATATTACACACACATGAAAAACAATATTTATTGAAATAATACTTCCTTTATTTATAAATAAACAAGTTCTTACGTAGTTCTAAAATGCACATTAATTTCATGAATCTTATATAGGTACAAAAACTGGAAAAGAGGTAGTATATATTTGTATAAGGGACACTTCTCTATTGGGATGGAATAGAGAAACATTTCGCCAATTGTCAAACAAAAAAAGGATGAGCCCATCTCCGAGACCTCCTCAGACCTGGTACTTGCATAGGTCCTATGCTTAGCATATTTGTCTTTTAGCGTAGTTGTCATGAGTCGAATTCAAGTTTACTCTCTTGCATTGACACTTTCTGTTTTTTCCAATTGCGCAACGCCCTCGGCGCCAGTTGTCAAACAAAATTGGGAGGGAGAGAGCATATGTTAAACGTACTTGGAGTATTAGAAATTCGTTTTTTACATCTTAACTTTAATTGGATTTGAAGACTAAAGTATGGAGTATAGAGAGAAGAATCTAGAATTTGAAGCTAAAGTTTTAGACCAAGGTTTGGAAGATGTACACATAAACCTATATATAGTACTCTAAGTATTTGTTTGTTAAAAATATTTTCAATTAGCTTGTGTTTTTAATTTTTTTGAGGTCTGAATAAATTTTAAAAAAATAAAATTAAATTTTATCATTAATTAATTTTTTTTCAAATACTAAAACTAAGTAAATACTAAGTTATTACCAAAGCGACCCTTAAGATTGCATTCTGTTTGATTGCCTGATCTGATATGATCTGAGTTTTTGAAATTTTGATCTAATTTGGTATCTGATTGAATTTGATATGGTCTCATCTGATTTAATTGGATCTGATCTGATATAAATTTGATTAAAATTATTATTATAATAGTTATATCAATAAAAATAATACTAATAAGAATAGTAATAATAATAATAGTAATAATAATATTAATAATAATAATAATAATAGGAATAATTATAGTAACAATAGTAATAATAATTATAGTCATACTAATAATAATAATAGTATTAGTATTAGTATTAGTAATAATAGTAATAGTAATAATAATAATAATAATAATAATAATAATAATAATAATAATAATAATAATAACAACAACAGATATAACAATAGTAAGTTAGTAACAATTATAATAGTAATAAAAATAATAATAGGAATAAGAATAGTAATAATAATAATAATAATAACAATATTAATATTATTAATATTCATAGCAATAATAATATTAGTAATAATAATAACAACAATAATAGTAATAATAATTATAATCATAATATTATTAGTAATAGTAATAAAAATAGTAATAATAATAATAACACCAATAATAGTATTAATAATAATAATATTAATTTTGTTTAGATCTCGTCATCTGATCTGATTTTTGATCCGATCTGATTGGATCTGATCTGATCTGATCCGGTCTGATCTAATTTTAATAAGAATAAGTAATAAGCAGAAAAAATAAGTTGAACGGAATGCTGTCTAAGTTGATATGGTTGAAATCAATGTGATAGAAGATTAGTTTTAACTAGAATTTTGAGTTTGGAATGTAAAATCTCGAACATAACTCTAAAACCATAGAGAGGGCCTAGGTTTTAATAAAAATGAGCATTTAAATCAATGAGTAAACTTTGTATTCCCTCCTTGAAAACATTGTACCCTTCTAACAATGTACAAGAATTTTCCTTCTTTTTGATATGATTTTATTTATAAATTAGTGGGAAACTTAAATGTGTGATTTGTATATAACAACTACATTAAAATTTTTATAAAATAAAATAAGATAAGAATATTTTATTTTATTAAATGATCGATGAAATGAAAATAAACAAAAATTTTCAAAAAAGCAAAAACTGAGACGGTTTTTTTGGGACAAAGAAATTACTCCTCCTCCCAACGAAAAGAACCTTCTCCTCCTCCTCTTCCTCCCCTTCCTCCTCTAGCCTTAGTTGTTTGTTTACTTTTTATTTTAGGTTTTTTACGTTTTTTACGTTTTTTGTGGTTTTCAATTTTTGTTTTTTGGTTAATTAATTAAATTCTTCTGTAAATTATGAAAACATAACATCAACAAAATGTGAATTTAATTATGTACTTTAAATTTTTTTATTATCTAATTTTAAATTCAACCGCGATGATGAGAAATTTTTCAAAATGAACTTTTATTTTTTAGATTCACTTTTAAATTTAATACTTCATTCGTTCTAAAATAATTTATGTTTTTACTATCACGACGTCTCAATAACTAGTTAAAGTTAATTATTAAAAAAGGGGTATGTTAGTGTGAAAGGTATGTATGCACTTCATGCTTGTAGTAATTGAGAAAAAAAAAGAGGACAAAATGAATGTGGGTTAAATTTGTCATTAATGGCTGCCGAATAAATAAGAAAGTAAAGGAAAAAAGAAAAAAAAAGAAAGTCTAGTATAGTGTGGAAGGAAGGAGGCGAGGAAGAGTCGAGATGAGCTAAGGGCGCGTTTGTTTCTTGTAACTTGTGTGGAAAGCAACAAATATAAAAAAAACAAATCACCGAGAGAGGCTTCGCTGACACGTGCGCTTTTATGGGACGCAAAAAACTCATCTCTCTCTCTCTCTCTACACCTACTCTCATTAATTTCTCCGCTAGTGCTTCGCTGTGCTCTTTCATTCATTCATTCATTCATTATTTCCGGATTTCTCCCATTTTTATTAGTGAAATTTGCAGTGAATAGGATTAAAACATAAGTCATTTCTTTATGTAGGACTTAAACTTTTTTATTCCCTAGATAGGATTAAATAATGACTAGTAAGAAGAATAATGTTCAAGTGATTTTGGACATTTAGTTGAATAATAACTAATAAATAATGACCAATGATCCTACATTGGGAAATAAAAACATAAGGTCCTATATTGAGAAAGTCATTATGTTTTAGTCCTATTTAGGTAAATTATATTTTGCGATTTTTCCGATGGACAAAGACTACTTTGACTCTATATAAACCTATACTTCCTCTCCAATCCCCAATCTTTAGTTTGGAAGAATAAAATGAAAAGTGCACTAAAAAGAAAAGAATTATTGGGGGTGGGTTTTAAATGTGAATATCTTGATTTAGTTGTTCACATTTTTCATAGACAGACAAATATTTTGTTTTTTTGCAAAAAGTTTAATCTTTTTAATGCAAGAACGTTTATAAAATGAACATGGATCCTAAGACTGCGTAGGAATTTTCCATTTTTACTCTCCCATTTTAACCATTATTTATTTTTTTTCCTAAACCCTTTCAAATTCAAACGCGTAAAATTGTTGGCTTTTCCCTTTTTGCATGAAAAGAAAAGCGTAGGGAAGGAAAGAGTGGAAACAAGCTTCAATCTAAGATTTGAAGCTTGTGACACGATTGTCCTATCACAACATAACCGATACCACGTTAAAATTCCGGTGGGCCGAGAATTGAACAGCGGGCGGAGTGTCGGGTGAAATCAACCACTTGCATATAAAGTTAGGATCTACTTTCTAACTTAAAAGCTTAAGCGGATAAGTAAGGTTTCACCCTTCCATATATGCTAGTGATGTTTTTCTTCATTTTCTGATGTGGAAACTCTAACAAATTTAAATTATAATTATATACTTTGTTTACAATTTATAATCAAAGATTGTAACTATTTTTTTAATGGGCGGAACTACGGATGTACGCAAGGCAGCAAACTGTACGTGTTAACTGAAAAATATGGATGTCTAAAAAACATTCACACTGCACGGGCAAGCCATCAACGATTAATAATTTGGATTGCGTAATGCAAGAGATCATTGCATTAAAAATAGATTTTTTTTTCTATGTATATTTGAATGGTGCAATTTATTTTTTTTATTTCTCTATCTGTTTATACATAAAATGATTTTTAAAAAAACGATGAGATTTTGCACGTTATTAATTCGAAGAGGAACATCGATTATGAGATGGAAGGAGTATACTTCTTCTGTCCCAACATGATTATCATTATTACTATTATGTTTCGATGACTTATGTTTGCTCGTATGTTTTAATTAATTTTTTTAAAAATAAAATCTTTTTATAAATTATTTTTATATATGTAATTCATAGATTTTATTTTTCAAAATTTTTGATGTACTTTTTAAATATGTAATTCTTAGATTTTATTTTTATACCAAGTCTAAAGTAAAATATTTTTTTAAAAAAACATAATGTTAGACATATCAACTGAACAATGTAAATAGATTTGAGACTGAGATAATATATATAAGTCCGGTAAGGCGGTAAACGAGCAATAAATATGGTGTACTCGTACGAGCATATTGTTACGTTACGCATGCGCCCATCCGATCCTAACAATTTCCGTCTTTTGGGTTACTCTACCTATCCTAATTATTAGAATTGACAAAACACATTCGATGTACCCCGTACTGAATTAAATTATTTATACTTCAA